CTCTTCCTAGGATGTATGGTTGCCTCTGGCTCATAGCAATGGATTGGCCCAGCCCATGACTCCTGGTGGCTCACCAGAAGGGGTTGACTTCTTATTAGTTCTCTTCCTGGCTAGATCCAGGGTTTCAATTTCCATTATTACTAAGGGCAAGGATACAAGTTAGCCAGTGACAGTACTGGGGGAAAAAAAGCAGGGTTGGAGGGTGATGTGTAACTCCAGATTAGCAGACTTGTGCAAGAGATTTTCCTGCGGGCTTTAAAGAGGCTGCCATGTTGAAAGGATCCCATGAGAAACTCACATGGCAAGAAATTTTGAGAGGCCTCACAGAAATGAAACTAGCTGAAAGTCATTGTGAAACAAAGACTCCAGTCTACAACAGTGAAGAACTGATTATTTCTAGGAAGCATAACAAGAGCAAATGTGAATGCCTGACCCTTGAACCTGCACTCTGCCGGTGTTCTACTTCTCAGCAGATGGCAACTCTATCTTTCCTTGTGTGCTGTTCAAAATTAGTAACTGTGAATCCCCTACATTTGTGTGGGGATGTATGTATGTGCTTTATTTATTTATTCATTTGTTTGTTTTGCATTAAAGGGGAGCAATTTGTTAGGAATGTATGTGTATTATTTGTTTGTTTGTTTGTTTGTGACAGCATCTTGCAAAGTTACCCAGGATGCCCATGAACTTGTGGTCTTTCTAGCTTGGTCTCCTGAATAACTAGGGTTACAACAATGCACTACCATGCCAGGGCACCTCTGTGCCACCTTCGTTCTTTCACAATGTTGTTTTTTGGTATTTGGGGTCCCTTGTGATGCTATGTGAATTTTAGGTTGATTTATTTTATTTTCTTCCTTTCCTTTGTTATTTTCCCTCCATCCCTTCTTCTCTCCTCCCCACACCCTGATTTTCCTGTCTTTTGTTCACTGGGGATTTAACCCAGGGCCTCATGTGTCCTATACAGGAGCTCTACCACTGAGCTACATTTCCACCCCAATATTCCCTGCATTGTCAACATATTGTGTTTTCTACTGTTATGATCTTTTTTCTGTAAATATAACCATGTCATTCTTTGCTAATAGTTTCTCTCACTGAAGTTTGAATGGTTTTTTGAGTACCATTTTCGCTCGCTCTATAGCACAAAATTTTTGGTTGGTACTTGGAAATTTTGAATAATGTACACTGAGAGCTCTGAATACTGTTTCTAGGCTGGTGGTGTAGCTCAGTATTCTAGGGCTTGGAAAGCATAGATGAGGGCCTAGCTTTCAACTGCAGCCCTCTATCTCTGGGACTTGTGATTCTTTGCTTGTATTTTTCTTTAATGATGCCTAATACATAAAGTTCCAAATGTCTCATTGCTCAGCACAGTTTCCCAGTTTTTGAGGTGTCCCCAGTATTCTGGATGGATAGTTATAGAGGCAGGTTGTTCTTCCTATTCCTCCATTAGATTAGACAAGTAGTTTTGTCTAGAGTTTCTTGGGAAGCGTGCAACTTAAAGTTAAGGATAATCTTGGTGAAAACATCAGACTCTTCACTTCAGATAAAATTTACATTTTGTCTTCCTTCTTTGTGATGCCTTTTATCCTGATGTCCCCCAAAGCCTCATGCAGTCATAGGAGAGCTTTTTTGGAGGTGGCTGGATCTAGGGTGTGTGATGCGGGGATTACATGCTAGCAGCAATGGTGTGATGCCAGGATTCAGGGCACTCCACTAGGGTGTGAGTGCTGCTCACCCGAAGGGAAGCCCTGGATGGAATATAAGGAACAAAAAGAATGTTTGCTGCTGTTGCTGCTGCTGGTGCTTCCTGCCTGCTCTGTGATGTCCCTCTGCCACACCACTCTGTTTTGGAGCCAGCCGATTATGGATGGAGCCTCTATAACCTGTGAGCCAAAATAAACCTTTCCTCCTTCAACTTTGGGTGTCCGGTATTTTGTCTCAACAACGAGAAAAATAACCGAAACCTTCCTTCCTTCCTCCCTTCCTTATTTCCTATCTTCTGCCCTCTTCTTTCTTGCTTGCTTACTTGCAAATCATAATGTTATTCTTGTGATCATGGCGCCATATGAAAGCCCAGTACGGAAACATAATTTTTCAAGTAACCTTCAACTCATAGCACATTTACTGATTAGTCCACAGAAGATGAGAGCGCTCACACCTTATTTCTCTGGGGTGCTGTGTGGTGATTCAAGAATTACTCCATGGCGGTCCTTTGGTGGAAGAATACATCTTCTTACCAGAAGTACCTCTGTGAAAGTTAAAGTTCCTGGGCATTCACTGCTGGTACCAGTGTCTCTGCCAAACCCTGAGCTGGGGCTGGAGTGGGGGCAGGGCCCTCTGTGATCACCTTAGTTTGATACAGTGGGTGTGGGAGCCCAGAACTGCAGGAGTCCACACAGTTGCAACAAGTGGCTCCGCCCAGCTCCTCCTGTCAATGGTTCTCCCCAACGCTGCCACCCCTGTCACCTGTGTCCTTACCTCTGCCTCTGAGGAGCTCTTGGCTCTTGGTCCCCAAGGTTAAGGCTCGCTCTCTCCATAGCCCTGGATTGACCCCTGGCTCCAAGCAATAGGCCAAATCCAGTAGGCTGATGCAATATCTGATCCCATCCTTTTATATTTTCATTTTGCTCTCCTTACTGTGGGAAGATGCCTAGGCTTTCCCACCGAGCTAGATATGTAGCACTTATGTATTCTGAGGTAGGTGCCCCCTCGGTGACCCAAGTTATGCTAGAACTTGCCATTTTCCTGCTCCAGCCCCACTGAGGGCTAGGATTTTATGTGTGGGATTTCAGCTTGCTCTGTGCCTCCTTTAATGTGGTCCTGTACTATGCAGTCCAACTTACTTAAAAGTAAAACTAAAAGTTGAGATTGAAAATAAATTTTCTTACCCAATAGTCCCTGAATTAATTTGGTAGCATTTGGGGGTAAATCAGTTATTATAATATTTCTTTTGCATTTTGAACTTTCCTGAATCTGTGTGTGTGCTGAAAAGTATTTCATTAGACAATTCATTTTTATTTACTTGCATTTTTATTACTTGTGCGAATAAGGGCCCTTGGAATCCTGACACATTACAACTGGCCTTGTGGTACAGGGCTGAAGAATCATTGCAAATTCTATACCAGTTTGGCCAAGTTTCACCAAGACTCTAGCCTGTCACCCTACCAGACTGTTGTGGCTCAATGTGGCTCCTGAGGTTCTTGGGGTTAAGGACCGGCGAGAGGATGAGAAAAATAAAGAAAAGACAAAGCTGGGATCAGATGGAGCTCTTATCCTCCTGATGGGAGGAAAGGAACTGCTCAACCACTGTAGCACGTTTATTTATCCACTGGGAAAGATGATGTCAATTTTAGCCCCTCTGCCTAGCAACCCATTGGTGGACAGGCCTGGGTCCCTTGTCTTCTGGGTGCTGAAACAAAGCTTGTTTTGGTCTTTCTGTTTTTTCTGGGTTGGTCTTTTTTTAGCCCCACACATGTGATCAATCTCCAGCTTCCACAGCTCCGTACAACAGACCACACATTTGCAAGTATCTATTCCTTCTTTTTCGAGGATGTATTTATCCTGTGACTGTCTCAACATTGTATCTTAGAAGTGTACTACTTTTTTAGTGTGTGTGTGTGTGCATGCACGCGCAGGTGCACACTTGCTGTTGGGAATTCAGACCAGGTCTTGCACATACTACCCAAGTGCATTACCGCTGAGTTATATCCTCAACTGTAGTGGTTTACATCTAGAAGTTCCTTAAGAGTCTCATGCACTCATAAGTGAGGCTTTTGGAAGGCAATTGGGTAATGGGAGCATTGTAGTCAGGAGTTGTGAGAACAGTTAGAATCAGGACACAGAATTTATATTATTTATGATGGTCACCCAGAGTTAACACAAGAAAGTGCAGGAAATCTGTCCCAGCACTAAAGACATAGAATATTCAACCAAGGGCCTGAATCCACAGTAATGCCCTACATGAGTCCAGATGAAGACCTAGAGCCCATGACAATGCCTCTGACAAGTCCAACTGGAGGTCTGGAGCCCATGAGAAGGACTCACACCAATCTGTTTTATGGATCTGTGCAGAGAAGGCCCAAAGGTCAGTGGTGGAAGCTAGAAAGTCCATGCCAGCAGGATGAAGGAGCTGTGCTGGTAGTTGAGGGTTCTATGCTGGAACTGAGAAGTCATGCTCAAAACAAAGACCAGGGTTTTTCTGAAAAGCACCACATCCATCCTCAGTGACATGGAGGCCCCAAGCTCCTTCAACAATAAAAATAGTCGAGTACATGCCAAGAAGCCAGCATGATGAGTTTGTCCTGGAGACCAAGCAGCTCACGTCTTCCCTTCGGAGCCAGGAAACGATACTCAATGTAAGGACCAGAGCTCCTCCAATGTGAACCACAGCCACTCTTACCAACAAGGTCCCAAGTTGCTCTGATGGCAATGGTCGAACTCACACTGGAGAAGCTAGTCACAACAAGCTCCTCCAGGAGAACCAACAGCTCAAACAGCAACATGTAAGAGAAACCACAATGCCTTACTTCTTCTCCATATCTCTTATTTATGCTGGCAACTTTCCTCAGGTGGAACATCTATGCTCAGCACCAGGCTGATTTAATTCAACTGGCATTAAGTTGACCATCAGTTTTTAATCCATAACAGGGAGCTTATAGCTGTTTTGTGTTAGGAGGTAAGGTCTTGTTAGAAGAGGTAGGCATTAAGGGCATGGCTTAGAGGATTTAGCTTCCTCCCTAGCTTCCCCCTTGATCTCTCCATTTCCATCATCATGATGTGAGGTGCTGTCTTCTATTTCACCTCTCGGCCATGCTGCCCTGCCTTGGAGTCAGCCAACCAGACTAAAACCCTACAAACTGCGAACCAACTTATTATACCTCTCCTTCTTTAAGTTGTAGGTGTTGAGTACTGTCGTGTCCAGGGGTGTGTGTAATTGCAGCTCTGCTGTCTGAGAAGCTCACTGAGATCATAAACTCAACACCAGTAAAAAAATTAAGGATACAATGTTTAAAGAAGGGGAGACACTTTATTGGAAAAGAGGGAAAAAAGAGAAGATAGATTGATACTGTGATAAATCAGCACAGGGGCTCCAGAAAAGTGGAACAGCCATGGGTCCTTTGTCCCCACTGTTTTAATACCTGGAACTTGCCACAATGCAATTGATTCCCTGGGCTGTCACTGACGGATCTCTGGCCTTAACATCTTAACCCTCATGCCATTCTCTACATGCACATGCCTAAGGCCCTGCTTATGCTTTTCTCTGAAATTTGTGGGCTGGTTAGAAGGAGTTTTACAGTCAAGGTCATATTAACAATTAGGTAAGGAGTTAGTGCACTAATACACTGACCCTAGAGTAGAAGTACATTTCAACTTCAGAGAAAATTAACATATAAAATAACTTCTCTTCAGGGCTGGAGATGTAGCTCAGCAGGAGGGCACTGGCCTGGTATACACAGGACCCTCAGATCAACCCTAGCAACACGAAAAACAAATGAATAAACCTTTCCTTTAAAAATGCCTGCAAAAGACTATAATCTCCATAAATGAATGAGTTACTATATTTCACTGAATCTAAGCCAGATTATAAAATGCAACATATGTATATGGGAAATAATTTTGTCACAATATTAAGTGATCATTGATTATTGCCATGTGCAGATTTCAAAGACATTAAATGTAAGAAGAAAAGATAGATCTTAGGATCGATAAGACTCAGCAGGAAAAATTACTCTTCATAAATTTATCCAAATAATCAAACATTAAGTACATTAAATTAGCACATGTTCATAATCTGTAACACATGCTAAACTATTATGTTTGTTACATTTATCTGAAATGAGGGATGGGCTGGAACTTAAATTGATTTCTAGAAGATATCTTGCAAAAACTGTAAAACTTAAGGATTTTCAATTTGGAAATTATCCATTTTCATTTGGAGAATCACAGAAAAGGAGAGGATAGGGGTGAGGCCTCTGTAAAGTGTCTCTGTGGAGAGCAGGAGGAAACAGTCAAGGACTAAAGCCAGGATCTGGGGACACTGCTCTGTGTTCTCTTCACAGAAGTAAAAGATCAAATGAGCCATTAGTGTTCTTTGCTCCATGCCTATAGACAATGTAAAGCAATCAAAATTGTTTTTATATATTTAGAAGGATGGTCTTTCATATAACTATGCTCTTCAACTTCCCAGGTAGCATACAAGTACCCAAAAATCCATCAGATCCTCCATGGTTTCATTCTATTAGAAACTATGTAATTTCTCAAAAAAAAAAAAAAAAGAAGTTTTCTTTGCATTCTCTGAAAGATGGAAGACAAAAACATATCCTATCATCCTAATGACAAATACTAGTCTTGTAAAGATCTTTCCATATGAGACAACTTGGCAGTTTATGGAAGACTCTGGGAATTACAGAACATTGCAAAACTTTTCTGTATTTACTATACATGGACCCAGAAACTTTGATCTCCAAAGCATGTTGAAAATCTACCAATGCTGTGCTCTGACCCACCCTTTCATTAGTGGTGCTAATTCAAGGACAGTAAGTAATCCGTCTTCCCCAAGTATTTTTGTCCTAGGTTCTGGAAAATTGCTTCATGGGGAAACTGCTTCTATCCATGGAGAAGATTCAAATATTAATGCATCTGAGAAAAATTTGTTAGAGACTTCAGCTGTTCTCTATATCAAAATATTTTTACTGAGAGTGAGGACTGCTTTGAGTTTGAGGACAGGCTAGACCACATAAAACCAAAAATGAATATCCCTCCTTATAGATTGCTTCACTGCATCATTTCAACCACTTCAAAATCCATTTGCTCTATTCTTCTGCACCCATTCCTTCATTTTCTTCTTCATAGCCTAGAACTAGAGGGCAAAGCTTTCTGGTCTTTGATCTTTCTGTTTTGTTTTTGCTGGTGACCCAGAGGCAAAGTGGCTAACTTATACATCACAGGGAATAATGCAGCAGTGAATATTGCTGACCCCAAACACGTGTACAGGACTACTGGCAAACCTGGGTATTCTCCCTGAAGAATTCCAATTACTGCAGGAATAGCCATGTCTCCCAGACAAGCACCAATGACAAAAAAAGCCGCAGACTTCCCACTTATGCTTGTGTACTGCTCAAGCCAAGAAATACCGCTGGGAAAGGTGGTGGCCATCGAGGCCCCATACACTGAGCTGGCTATCCACAGACAGAGTGGGTTCTTGTCAAAAAGCACCAGGAATAAAGATGACACCAGGCTGCCAATGTTGCTCACCACAATCATGGTTCCAGGCTGTAAACATGTAGCAAAGAAGATTGCCAGGCCCCTGCAGGCTGCAAAGGCCCCCCAGAAGGCGGAGTTCAAGCCAGCCGCCTCGCTCTCCTCCATGCCAACGTGGGTGGTTGCAAATGAGAAAACATAAGAGCCATAGGTTACCTCAGCTCCAACGTAAAAAAAGAAGAAGAGGAAGAGGAGGCAGAGCAGGGCTCTGTGATATTTAGCTCTTCGAGATGCCTGAGCAGACGCTGTTGATTTTTCATGCTTTGAGCTTTTCTTGAAGAACAGAGCAAACAGGAAGACAGAAACTACAAAGATGTAAGTGCCGATAGCAGCATAAGCCCACAGTAAGTTCAAGTCATCAGGCGCTGCAAACAGAAGGCCTGGGTCGGCTTCAGGAGATCGGTTGAGGGCTGGAGGGTGAAGGTGAGGCTCTGTGTGGTTTTCAGGTGACGCTGTTGTCCCCAAGGCCAGTTTTGCCAGAATAGGAGCCAAAAAGGCACCCAAGGCAAAACTGAAGTGTAAGGCTTGCATATGTGGGGCTCCTTTGTCCCCCCATAGAGCCAAGATAAGGACATTTCCACCTACCAAGGAAAGATGGGGAAATGATCGAAGTTATACACAGCAGTTTAGTAAAAACAAAACAAAAAAAAAAACCCCAAAAGTAATTCATTGCTATCAGAGAGAGGATGAGTCTGTATTACTACTTTGTGATAGCCTCACAAAGCCTCACAAATGTTAGTGAACATTGCACCTAATTCAATTCTGTGATTAAGGAATTCTAACCCGTTGTCTCCAGAGAACTATGCATTGTTTTTTTTTTTCTTTTTTTTTTTAATTTTATTTAAGGAGAAAAGAAAAAAAAAGCAGGGAAAGGGTACAAGTTATACAGATTTACAGAAAAAAAATGAACAGTAGGAAATCACTAGTTAATGGATTACATATTGTCATCTTAGAAATAATTGTTCAAGTCACAAAATTAAAGCTTGTAAAGTGGACATTCCATCAATGATAATGCAAACAGTTCTGTTCATTGATCCAATAAAACTCTGTGATATCATTTTCTATCTTATACACTTAAATATACATGCAGTTATATAGTTTGGAGCACTTTCTTTTCCTCTCTTTTGTACCATGACTATTACACATTTTGGGTTTCATTGCTCCCACGGTTCTTATTACTTTTTTGGAAGAGAGTAAAACCAAATGTGACATAACAGAACAGAATCGGTCAAGTCAAAAGGGTGGACATAATAGATAATGTAAAAACATAATACAAGGTGATCAACAATGGTTACCATAATGCCTCCCGCTATCTCTAATAGAATTGCCTATATCGTTAGTTATAATACAATTGAACAAAACAGTAAAGAATAAAACCGACAAAACCAAAACATTGGAGACACTGTAGGTCTTCAAAAGTAGATAAAAGTCAACAAGAATGGGCGTCATAATGAATCTCATTATCTGGTGGTGAAACACTATTCTGCTTAAATGGTTATGTTTTGATCTGCGCTGTTTCGTTGTTATGCCTTCTTTTATCTCAATCTCCACTCCATTAATTACTTTTTTATCTTTATCCTTTTAATTAAAGGAAAAAAATAGCAGGATATATTATAGTAACCCACTTTGACTTTTCATTACCTTGATTTAAAGCCCTGTATTACTCTCACCATCTGGTTTTTAACTGATGTTCCCCTATTCTGTTTTGCTGGATAGTATCTGGTTCGAAAGTTTAGGCATCAGCTGTAAAGATAATGAGAACTATGCATTGTAACATCTCTACGCACACATAGAATTGTATTAGTGGTGAATAGCTGACTCTCAGAACCAGGTACACTAGCAATTTTTTTAACACTAAGAATTGTATCCAAGGAGCACTGAGGGGGTGCCTGGCCCAGTTTCATTTTTTGTTTTGAGAGAGCATCTTACCCAGCGGCAGCTTTCTTGCACTTGTGCTCTTTCTACCTCAACCTACTGAGGCATAGGCTATCTATCTATCTATCTATCTATCTATCTATCTATCACATCTATCATCTATTGATCTATCTATCAATTAGATGCATGAAAAGAGAAGAAACTGCTCAAAAGGAAAAACAGTTGGGATGAAGAAAGGAGAAAAGAAGGAAATGGAAAAAAAATAAATATATATCTACACACAAGATAACTAAGATAATTATACTACTAATTTCTTCTAGTTCATTAAAAAGAGTGGTTTGTGCTTATATTGTTTGGTGAATTTTGCATGCCTGTGCCTTGTAATCTAACTACTTTAAAGATAATATGCAATATATTAACCAGGGTTAATTTTCTATTACCTTCTTTTAAAATTTTGTATCATTGTTTTTATTTTTTTCTTTAAAAAAAAAACCAAATAGATGCAAAACCCACATTCAAGACCCTGAATCTGCCAAGATTCTGCTGTGCCTAAAATAGGATGTAAGAACACCTTTTAGCACAGTATCTGCACTTACAGTGTCTCAGCACCTACAAGGTGAAAGGCTAGAAGCATTAAGTTTTTAGCTATCCCACCTAAAAATGAAATATTTTCAGGTAAACAGAATTCTAGTCAGGAGTGGTGGTACATGCCGGTAATCCCAATTCTCAGAAGGTTAGGTAGGTGAATTGCCATGAGTTCAAGGCCAGCCTGTATCTCATGGCCAGACCTTGTCTCAAAAACAAAACAAAACAAAACAAAATGAAAAAGACAACCATAGATAATGGGCATGATGGCACATGCTTGTACTCCCAGCACTCAGAGGCTATGGCAGGAAGATAATGACTTTAGGTTTAGTTGAGCTACATGGCGAGACTCTGTCTCATAACAATCTGTATTAATAAAATTCCACCCTGTATTTTTACAAGCAAACTAATCCTAAACAGTAAAATATTTCCCAAGTCTATCAAATAACATTAGACCAGAGAAGTGGGGTACATAAAGCTGACATTAGAGGCAAAGAAATATCATATACGTTATTTGATAGGTTTTCAAGGGCATAGTGACCATTGGATAAGCTCTCCTATAGTAAGGCAGGAACTTTTAAGAAAGAAAAGAACAGAACAGGAAGGAAAGTAGTACACACCACGGGTTCCTCTTTGCTCGACATGGTTACATTTTTGATTGAATGCTTGTTTCTATGCTTTTACAGCCAAATGATGGTTCCAAACTTGTTTTATCCCTTTAAAACAATTCACCTGTCTTTTTAAAAATTTTATTTTAAAGAGGATAAAACCAATACAGATAAACTAGTGTGATATAGGACTTCAAAACCCTGCAAAATCAGCAATAGTTACCATAATTCCTCTTGTTGTCCTCAAAATAGTTGCAGATACCTTCAAACATAGTAAAAATCAAACAGAACAAAATAGCACAGAAACAATAAAAACTGAACAGTGAATGTAATAAAGGACTTCAAAACCAGCTAATAGTAAATTCAAAATGGCTACCACAATACGTGTTGCTATCTTTTAAACAGCTGTTCATGACGTCGGATTTAACATAATCAACAAAACAAAAGAGAATAAAACCCAACCCAACAGAACAATGAAAATGATATGGTTTCCAGGAGGGATCTCTTCCTGGTGAGGCCTGGTCCCCCCACTGCAGTCTGAGAATGGCTCTGACTCACAGAGAGAGGCTTGGGTCTGACTGCTCCCACTCGAGCAGCAGCCAGGCATGGCGCTGGTTTCTACGCCTGGACCATCTCCTTGTGAGGCCTGGTTCTCTCCACCCATGGTCCTCGAATCTCATCTTTCTCATTAAATCGATTCCTCTTACACTGCATGATAAAACTCCCTTTTGAAAGGAAAGCCTTCTCAGCTGACCTGTAATTACCCACAGGATTCCCCGTGTCAATACCCTAAATCAACCGTCTTCCTTAAAGCCAACTCCCTCATGGTCACTTCTAGCTGGCTGCTCAAGACCTGGGGCTCTGATTGGTAAGAGGAGGGGCTGGCGGAAGGGTGGCTCTCACTGGGAGACCCATGAATGACTCAGTAAGTCCTGGTCATTTCAGAAATTTGCAAATTATTTCTCTAGTACTGAGTCCACACTCCCAGAGATGGCACTGGAGATCCACTAACCTGTGTCCAGAGCACCAGCTGCAGCACCAAACACAGACATCATGGCAATCAGTAACGTTGTTGTCTTGCAAAAAGGAATGAGGTAAAGGCCAACTGTGGTAGCCAACATCGATAACCCTGGAAAGAAAAGGTTAAAGTCAGCTATAAGAGACAATATTCACTATGGTCATGGGATAAGTCAATAAACAAAAATACCAAATGAAGCGCAACTAAAACTGGGTACTGGTGAGAAGGACAGAGTTACAGCTGCGGCAAGTTGTTATATTACTCAATCTTGTATAAGCTTTATGGACTATAAAATACAGTATTATAAAATTACATTGCCAGTTAATGCTAACACTATGAATAATCTAACTACAAAGAAGTTTTATAGCAAAAGAGACAGGCAAAAATTATTTACTTAAGTATGTCACACCCAGAAGCTGCAGACCCAGAAGCTCATTCTGATGGCTCTGGCCTGAGATCTGCTCCCTGTCCCCTAAGCAGAGCTTGGGGTCTCTAGTGTGGGCCCCTGGAGCAGTGCCCTAACTGCCCTGAAAGTTGGGAAGGCTCAGGATTGCACACACATCCAGCGGAGCTGTTTCCAGAGGACCCAGCACAGACTCCTCTCACTGCCAAGGTGAGAGCAAGGAGCCCGGCTTCCAGGAAGACACCTAATGCACCCATTTCTGTCATCAGCCATTCTGCAGGCTGCTGCTTTTCGTATGCAAGCCATATTGTAAATACATTTACAGCCACAAAGAAGGAAAAAAATCAGTGTTTTCTTACCCAGAAGTAAAACATGATTCATATATTCAAAAAGAATGCCACCAATCATAGAGCCACAAAAGAATCCAGAGGCCCGGCCAACAAAAATTAGAGAAAGACTGCTGATATTTCGGTTTACATTTGTTGCCAGATCTTGAAATGTAGGTCCCAGTATACCAACACTCAATCCCTAAAATTTAAAAAGAAAAAATGTTTTTACTTACAACCATTAAAATGATGTCGATTGTAAGTGGTAGCATTTTACACTGCAAAAAAAAAAAAAAAGTGCAAGAGGGGATTAAAATGTAGGGGATCATTCTAAATCCCACTGTCAGGAAAAATGTACAGTGCTAATGTATTATAGCTAGAGATACAGAGACCCAGGTTTCGTATACCACAACTCTCAATTTTGCAAACATTACCTAATTCTTTTGCCTTCTTATTGTAATTCTTTTCCTTTGTGAACAATACCTTAAAAGGACATGGTATATTAAAAGTTAATAAACCAGCTGGTGGCACATGCTTGTAATCCCAGGACTTGGGAGGCTGAGGCAGAAGGATTCTGCAGATTCGAGGCCAGCTTGGATTACCTATTGAGTTCAAGCCCAACCTCAACTAAATAAAGAGACCCTAACTCATAAAAAAAGATAAAATGTAACATTGAAAGTATTGTTGAAAGTGTTGAATATTTCAAAGTACATTACTCATATTAACATGAGAATTTGGATGTTAAAATGTTAAATTATCAAAGTAGCCTCATCTTAAAATTTAAATCAGCAAATTTCAGGTACACATTTTCTTTTTATAAAGTACATATATACAATCTGCTGGAAAGTAACATTTTTAAGTTTTGCTAAAGCTACGTTTTTTTTTTTTTTTTTCAAAAATCCCAGTCATCAAGAATATAGTCTTTAAGGCTTCTTTGGAATATTGCATATACATGCATAGAATTAATTTGAACAATGAAATGTTACTCAAAGACAATACATTGTCTTGTGTATGGTGGTAAGATAAATTGAGTTTAAAGCAGTCTCACATGTACCAAAGTGCAAACTACCTTACTGTATTAACAAACTGCAACCTAATGAAGAGTAGACTCCCAGTGTTTATTAGAAACTAAGGTTCATAAGGTAATTAGTGTATGTAATTACTACAAACAAGAGGAGGAAAACCCTATATGTAGCTATAAGAGGGAGACAATATGTGCATTGGAAAGGAAAAGGTATCATGTATGAATTTTTTGTATTGTGGTAAAAAGAGAGTGAATTTTGTCCTAAAATACAGCTGGATATTCTAAATCATGAATATGAAAAATATAGGACAGACCTGAATAAACAGGAACATTGTCAAAGTTTTGTGAAAGTTGAATTCTGTGACAGGAATTGTATGAGTGATGACAGTGGCTAAGACTAGAAGGAAATTATTTAAAATATTTTCTAAAAATTGAGCATTAATATCTAAAACACACTGTAAACAAGGAATTTTGGACTATTTATTGGCTGGCTGATAGGAAACTGTGAAGGATTTTTGTAGACATTTGAGGTCATTGGACTAGGAAACAAAGATTCTCTTTTCCAAGATAATTTCCTGTGTTCACATTGACTTTATTAGGTTTTCCATCACTTAGGAAAACTGAGTCTTTTCTATTAAAAGAGCTAAGGTTTTTCAATAACTATGCAACTTTCTGTATTTGCTTTTGAAGTGTCAATATCACTTTGGTTACTTACGAATAGTGTTGCAATTCTCTGTGATCTCGTTGTGAACCAGTGTTTTGAACCTTTGGTATTTTTAAGGAAACTTCCAAAATTGAACTTTAAATTGCTTTTTTCTTGACTTTGAATTAATTTTGGAATTTTGCAGATGAGCTATCTCTCTTTCTAAGAAGAAACTTTGAGTTTGATATATTAAATTATATGGAAAGCATTTTCAAATAATAAGTTAAAACTCTGAATTATATTTGCATGTACATTATATATGTTTCAGAAATCGAACAAAATTCATAGAAATCTAACAATCCTAGGGTAACATTACTAATCCTAATTCTAATTATTATTATTGCTATTTTTTTGGTACCAGGGATTGAATTTACAACCTCACACTTGTCAAGCATGCACTTATGCTGCTGAGCTAAACCCTTGGCCCCTAATTCTAATTATTAACTTTATATGTTGTATGCAAGAGCCCAGCAGAGTGGCACTGCCTGTAAACCCAGTATTGAGGAGGCTGAGGAGGGATGATGTCAAGTTATAGGTTACTCTGGGCTACATGGAGATACTATCATAAAAGGAAGGAGGGGATGGCCTGTCTCATTCTTTTTTTTAAATATACAACAGAAGTAACCAAATTTTTTTGTCAGTTGCGTCAATGTTTTAATGAACTCTCATCAGACCTTTAACCAGGGTTTTTTCAAGTCTTGTCCCTCACAGGTAGGTCAGTATTTCATCTGGTATTTCGCTGCGCCACCACCGGTTTGGTGTTCAGGGACATTCATGGAAAGGACTCTGTCAAGAGCAGGTTTCAGATAACTTAGGGTCCCTCCATTGGACTGGGTAAGAATTCTCAATAAACAGACTCACTGGCTCATAAACCTCAAGCTGATGTTTAACCCAACACTGAGCACAAGGCAGTGCTTATGTCACTGAGCTAAATCCCTGGCCCCAAGAATTAATTATATACTAAGGAAATGACTTGCAGATTTTCCTGCAAAATCAGCCAATACGGAAATTGTTGAGATATGCAATTTGACTGACCTCTGTAAAATTGATTCAGGTCTAATTATCTATGATAATCTGATTAATAAATAGTGCTGTACATGTGAACTAGAAAACATACTATGAAGAATTGCTAAGTTTGGGTGCCTGTCTGACTGCTTCTTGCTAAGTTTTCCAAGCTTCCATTATCAAAAGTGCTGCACTCCCAGACAGACTTAGTGGTACATTACTGCAAACCAGCTACTTTGGGAGACAGAGGGAAGAGGATTGTCTCATTGAGGCTAGCTTAGGAAATTTCATAAGCACAAGAAAAATAAAAAGGGGGCTGGAGATGCAGCTCAGTGCTTCTAGGGTTCAATTCATGTGCCACAGAGAGACAGATAAACACACATACACACACATACAGAGAGAGACAGAGAGAGAGAGAGAGAGAGAGAGAGAGAGAGAGAGAGAGAGAGGTACTGCACCCCAAGATGTATCATGGAATAGATAAAATGATTCAAATTAAGAGAAGATATTGAGATGGCAAATATTTTTGAATTGAAAAACGTCTCATAATCAATCTTTGGATTGTCAAATTCAGTACTGGTAAGAGAAAACACTTAAAGGGAACCCCACTAGACCTCTGAAACTATACCCCTGGGGGGGACCTTACGGTTAAGCTGACCAAGGATATCTCTCTCTACCCTAAATTTGGAGCTTTCCTCCAAGTCCACAGATTAAGACTTCTCTCCCATCTCAAAATCCTTCTCTCTTTCCCTCATTTCTTACTTTCCTAATCTCTTCCATACATTTTCAGTAAAATATATAGGGCCATATTTTGTGGGTAACTTTAGCAAAGGCTTATGCTGTAGCAAGAGGACTTGTGAGGTTTGCGGTCCAACATCCTCAAACCAGGAAATAATTTCACTACTGCCAGTGCTGCTCCACATTCCCACTCAGTCCCTTTGAAGCCCCAAGGAAAGAGTGAAAAACTTTTTGATATTGTAGACATCTCTCCTCTCTGCTCTCTCTGGAAATAGTACCCTGACCTTTCAAATTGATAACCTGATCACTGCCAAATACAGAAAAGCTCCATGAGAAAAGCAGCCTGCAACAAGTGTATCGTGCCTATACAAGACCTGGTGATTACCTGCTTGGCAATTGCTGTATGATGTCACTGTGTTAAAACTAGTAAGAACCCTTTCCACTAAATGAGACTGCTTTCTTCCATCGTGCCATAATGGGTGGAACCACAAAAAAGACTCACAATGGTGTTGTGCACACTTAAAGTAAACAAAAGCAACTGACTTTTATTGAACTGCCAGTAGGTGACCCTCTTTTCCAGCTCCTACACTGAGGCTGGAGAACTTGTCTACAGTGTTCTGATGCCTCACTGGTTCAGATCTTGCTCTCTGGGACTGGCTCACTGCCTTCTGAATAGCTTCCCCTGAAAGTCCCCACCCCTCTTATACTCAGAGGCCAAAACACTCAGTATCCACAATTACATCTACCTTGAAGTAAAGATTTTGTTTGTTTTTGATACCTGGAATCAAACTCAGGACCTTACGCTTGCCAGGCAGGCACTGTGTCACTGAGCTATATCCTTGGCCTAGATAAAGATCAAGTAGCTTCCGCCAAGGAAGTTTCCTGACAGGGTTTCTGGGAGGTCACTCTTGGCAGCAGTCGGGGCCAGGTGTATGGAATTTAAAACTAACATATTACCTAGCAATTTTGGATCTTGTAATGAATTAGGCTTCCTGGGAATTCAGAAGGGTAGAATCCACTCTTTGACAGGTAGGTGAGAAGATTCATTTTCAACCAAAATTCTTAGAACAAGATTGTTTTAGATGTCTTCCTTGCCCATGCTGGGGGCTTGTGTGTGGCCCTGGATGAAACTGAATAGCGTGCTTAAGTTTTTCTTCATTTCACATGCTACAGAAAGAGTAATTTAAAAGGTGGCTGAGCAGCTGGAGGTCTAGCTCAGTTGGTAGAGCACATGCTAGCAACGCACTAAGCCATAGTCGCAAATCCCAGCCTGAAAAGACAAAGTAATATATAAGAAATGACTTATAACAGTGCTGTGTTTTAGGCACCACCACTGAACACGTTAAGGAAAGTTCTCGGGGGTGGAGGGAAGAAGCACATGACGTGGTCACAGAAACAACCAGCAGTTGGTTTGCAAGCATCCTGAGTGGTGGGTGGTAGGCCAGGCAGTTACAGGGTGTTCTGTTCTTCACGTTTAGTGGGTCTCCAGGTTCCTGTGACTTGTGACTTGTAAGTGCACATATGGATACTTGTTTGGATCAAGCCATTTTATAGCTACCCACAGTCCTTAGTCAACATCACTGTCTGAACAAAGACTATGACCAATTGGACTAACTACTGTTGAGTTTTCTTTATGATGTAAACTTTGAATGGCTTGATTTAGAGCAGTTTGGTTCACGGAGATGCCCGTTAAAGAGTATACTTTAGCTTCTGGATATTACTGATGTACAAGATATCAGTAATATAACATCTCCTGAAAGTCACCCTCAAGTCTCCCTAGTGTGCTGTATGCCCTCGAGTGCCAAGTGTTTCTATGCAGCCATCCTTTGTACAATAAGTGAAACAGAAACACAAAGCATCAAGAATCACCCAAATCATTTGTTGTTGTCAATTGTGAACTACAGAATTAGACCCTCTTGGTTAATTATGATGGTTACAGTAAGGGTTGGCCAAAGATTTCAGGGAACCTCTCAAATTGGAGGCTGAACAAAAGCAGGGAATTGTTGCATTCAGTTCTAGCCTCTATCTGCCTGTGTACAAGGGGAACTGTAACCTACCTAAGCATTGCAATCTGCTTGTTTGTAGAACAAGTAGCTGAGCAACCAATGTTTCAGGCAGTCACAGGCTGCACACTGCTGGTGAATGTGCAAAGAAGAGGAATAAGCTGTAACTGGCGTCCCTTTCTTATTCTGTGTCTCAAACCCTGCCTGCCATGTTCGTGCATGGAATTTTCTGAACTCTTTCAGGTGCTGCCTGGCTTGAGTCACATCTTTCTAGAAAAAAGAGTGCTAAAATTAATTTTTCTTTTTAATGGCTATCAGCAAGATCTAAATAGTCACTGGTTTTTAGGGGAAGTTCCTTGGACTCTTTGAGAAAAAATGTTTCAACTCTTAACCTCACTGCTCTGCTCTAATGTATTGTGTGCCTCTCATTCAGTAGGAACAGTTCACAGATGAGAATCCAGGTTAGCCGCGCGGCACAGCAATCTGTTAACTTTGCAGTGCTCTGCTTTAAGCAGCAAAGTGGCCTTTGGAGAACCAGGAGCAGTTCAGGTTTCAGGATCAGGGTGTGTATAAGCCCACAGCAAGCATCATGTACAAAGAAGGAAGGATAAGCAATGACTAATTTATTACTTCCTGACTTCTAAAACCTGGCACAGTGAGATCACCATGCACTGCAATGATTTCTTTCTCCCCACCCCTCCTCCCCCCATGCTGCCTCCAGCCACCAAACCATTCTAAGAAACAAGGTGGTTCTGATAGAGATGCTAAGTGACCAAAATTAACTCCTTTCCAGGGACTCATACTCCCAACTACCCAGGATCTCAATTGCCAAGTGTTAGTGGGAAAGATTACCACAAATATGAAATTGAGGGGAAGCCCAGGGGCTTGGGGCAAAAGGCTACTTTTAGCCATGTACACTTAAGGCTCCGAAGGCTCCATTAATGTTTGTGGACAGAGTAACAGATGTTCCTCACTCTACCACTTAATCGGTAGTTTGATTTGGAAAAGCCATTTTCCTCTCTTGACTAGTTTTCTAGCTGCAAAATTAAGTGACTGGCTGAATTTGAATTTGGCCACTAGAAACAGGAAATCCCAGAAACGTGATTCTTCTGTGTAGTAATTTGACATGCGGTAGAACAGTGGCTAAAGGCCTGGGTAACCCTTCTTATGTCTCCCCAAAACACCAAAGAGACAGGAAAATTTGCTGCAGTGGGAAAACAATGTACTAGGAAAATCAGTTTCTCACTTGACAGTAGCCCTCCGCGATTATAGTTGTGCCCGAGTGTCAGATGAGGAAACTGAGGCCTAGGGAGACTGGCTAATGACGCAAGGTGACAGTGTGCTGGGACCAACATTAAGACTCCCGACTGGGAAGGCAGCGTTCTCTGCAGGGAACCTCTCAGGCCTGGAGGGTTCAGCCCCAGCTCTCACCAGCCCCAGGTAGGCGGCATACACGATCACCGTGGTGAACCAGCGCAGCGCGCTCCCTGTCCGGGCGCTCGGCGGCACCGCCACCGCCTTCGGCTCAGGATCCCGGGCCGCGGCATCCTGGTGTCGCTGCACAGCAGCCGGGGCCCCGGCAAAACCGCGCTCCGTTTGCAGCTCCAGCTTGGCGGCGACAGAGAAGTGGTCTTGCAGCCGCCGAGCTTTTCTTTGCCGGACCTGGTGGAGCGCGGAGCCCTGGTCCTTCCCTGCCCGCAGGTTCCTCCCGGCGCTGCCTCCCCCAGGACCCGTCCCGCATCCCGGCCTCGCGAAGGCGGACTTTGGACCGCACGTGTGTCTCGGGAAATGGACTCGCGCGCTCCGTGCGGGTCACGTGATAGAGAGCTTCGCGGTTACGGGACCGACCTTTAACCCGGAAGCTAATGTGGTTTCCTAGGAGACCAGAAAGGTCTCGGGTACCGCAACACCAAGGCCGCGGAGGCCAGTAGAGTCCTGTTCAGTGGCTGAGTGAGCTGGTGCTGTACCCCCGGAGCAAACAAATTGAGGGATAAGAGTCCCAGACCGTTAGGAGGAAATGCGGGCCAAGAACTACAGGTGGGAACCTCGCGCGCTGGGGAGCCGAGGGACCGGAAGGTGTTATCCTCAGAAACCTCCCAACGCCCACCATGACTCCCAAGTCGGAGGGTTCTCAGTCAGTCGCGAACTTCTTCACTTCACAAATATTTTTTAACCTCCGGGTAAGCTTTGATGTTTAACATCTCCATGAATCCTCACCATCACGCTCAGAACACCATTTTAGCCTCGTTTCCTGAGTAGGAAAATTAAGATACAAAAAATAATGACCATCTGGCCCAAGGGCAGTCAGGGAATCAGTGACCATAACTAGTGCGTAGACTCGTAGGGGAGACTGATGTTCAACATATGGACACGTGGAAAGGGTAGAGTTTAATAACAGTGCTAAGAAGGTGTGTCATTTATAAGAACCTGTCTTAGTTTTGGGTTTGGGGGAAGATATTTTTGAGAAATGTTTTGTGTGGTTCAAATAAGAGATAAAAGAGATTAGAAGGTGATGTGTGGAAGAAAGGTTGTAAAGAGCTTTGCCACACAAATGAATTTGGACTTAAAACTCACTTCTATTAGCATATTTAGGTGTAATACATCCAAAAGTGGTCTCTAGAAATACCGAGATTCATTATAGCACATCATCTTTTTCACTTAAAACTGAACTCATTATCTTCAATAAAGAAGTTCCCTCTTCTGTGATGTTTTGTTTCTACCTGTAAAGTATCTGAGATCCAGCTGAAATGCTTCTCTGCCTCCTCAAATGATCATCAAGTTCTGCCAGTATTGCATATATATATAATTTAAAATATATATATATATTTAAAAAGACAAAATTAACACAAATTTTAAGATCTCATTTTGGCTTTTATTAGAATTTGTAGTGCTGGGCCGTGTCTAATTCCATAAAATACAACATGTGTTCACATGAGCTGAAAAGATTAGGCAGAAAAAATAAGATGGAGAAAGGAGAGCAGGAAAACCACAATTTAAAAGATATGTCTTTCCCACTTTTTTTGGGATCAACTCAGGGATGCTGTGGCACTCAGTTATATCCCCAGCCGTTTTTATTTTTTATTTTGAGACAGGTCTTGCTTAGTTGCTAAGTTGCCCAAGTGGGACTTCAATTTCTGATCCTCCTGCCTTAGGGTCCCTCAGTACTGGTAAAATATTACTGTTAAGGAAAACTGCAGCTTCAAACCCAGGGTTACAATGTCTTTTTTCCCTTTCCAGAAAACTCCAAAAATTCCAAAAGAGCATTAAAGATACAATAAAAATGTAAATCTCTATTCTCTTTATTTCCTTATAGGTAAGGCCCATGTTTTTCACATGTAAATTGAGCCTCATTTTTCATCTAATGTTATCTATAGATTCATAAATCTCACAGATTTTTACCCTCAAGAAAATAGTACTATTAAGTGGGTACCATATTTATAAACTTCTAACACGCAAAAATTTACATTCTAACCTAATCCATTAAGGGTAACTTGAGAGACACTAGGAACATACAGTCTCAACTGTCTGAAGGACACCTCCAAGACCACATAAGAACCCTCAACCCCATACAATATGCACCTCCAGGAGCATCCATACTCCCTTCTGAGTGTCCACTGCTTTCTGATTAATACATCTATTAATGCCTCTCACTGACACATCTTAAAAATTCTTTTTTTCTGTGACAGAAGTTTGAAAACTTACCATTTAGTCTGTGGGTGGGGTGAGTTGAGATCCCCATCTCTTTTGGGGACCTCCTTGAGCCCTATCTTTTTATAGACAATAAGGGGATTAAGAAAGCAGGAATAGGAAAAGAAAATAGATTCCTTGTTTCAAAGTTACTTTCATTACAGGATTAAAATAGGGGGACTTCATTATCATGCTGTCTCAGGTATAGTGGGCTCCTGATCAGTTAATATGAATCTCGTTTTTGGAAAACTGTTCCATTTCAAAGTATAGTTTGATTATGTGGCACTTGACAGGAATGACTCCACTGTGGTTTAGTGTGATCTGTTGGTCTAGCACAAACACTCAATCCAAAACTACAGCCTCCCACTGTATTCAATTTTCACTGAATACATGAGTCAATATAATTATCACAACCTACATTTAAACCGTTACCATCTCTTGCTACAACTGTTGCCCCATCTTTCTGATTGGTCTTCTTCCTTTTAGGGTTCTGTTCTCCAAATCAGTCTTTCATCCCTAAGAATCTTAACTGATACGCAAATCTGCTCCTAAAACCCTTCAAGTCTTCCTTTGGAATGAAATCCAACTTCACTTGTCCCTGTTCACCATGTTTATTTTATTTCTAGCTAATCTCATGTTATTATTTATATTTCAACAACACCAAACTTGCTGTTCGGCTGGGGATCTAGCTCAGCAGCACAAGTACCTGCCTGACAAGCGCAAGGACCTGAGTTTGATCCCCAGTACCAAAAAAAAAATTGCTGTTCATTCTGTACATACCTATTTGTTTCTCTTTCCTTTAATCACGCTGTCCCCTCTGTCTAAAATGCCCCCCACCCCACGCTTCTTTCATGTACTGTGGTAGAGACTGCTAGCTATTTGCCAAAGTCCTCTTGCCCTTTGTGAAGCAGTGAGGTACAGTCCAGTGCATGGCTGTCCAACTCTACCACATTTCTGTTTAATGTGCAACTACAAGTGCCAGCAGAATGTGAGCAGAAGGCTCCATGGGCCTGAAGACATTGGATGTCCTTCCTCTGTGTTTTCTTTCTCCTCAGCTGGATCTTGGACATGACTGTGATACGGTCTCAGTTATGCAGATGATAACAAAGTTGTACAGAACCACTGACCCATAAAAGGAAGGAGACTGTTCCTCAGTGTTATATGGAGCACAGCCTCCTGCCAACCTAGAATGCTTTCTTATGTTAGGTGAGGGGAAATAATGAATTTTTGTTTACATTAGCTGAGTCTCCTAGAAGTAATGCCATGTGCTTTTTTTAAATGCCTTTTTGATGGTCATATACAGTATTAAGGAGTTTCAGAGTAAAAAATGTTTTGCTTTTGGTTATAAGGAATGAACCCAAGGCCTTTAGATTGAACTATATCCCTAAACCTTTTAAATTTTTTTCTTTTGATATAGGGTCTCACTAAGTCACTAAAATTGGTTAGGCTGGACTCAAACTTGGGATCCTGCTTCCTGAGGCTCCCAGAGTGCTGGGATTACAGACCTGTGCCACCAATCCCAGTTCATATTTAGTTTTTACCTCTAATGATAGTCTATTGGAATGCATCCTCTTTGCCAATAGAAGTGTCATATAGTACTTGGTTATGGTGGCATACACCTGGATCCCAGAACTTAGAGACTGAAGTAAGGAGATTGGGAGTTCACAGTCAGTCTGGGCTGCATAGCAAGATCCTATGTCAAAAATGAAAAATATCACATAATATTACTGGAATTTAACAAAGACTTCTTTTATAGTACTCATGATTGAACCTGGGTAACACACATTCCCAGTCCTTTTGAATGTTTCTTTTTTAAAAAAATTTTAGTAAGTTATCTCCAAATTGCCCAGACTTGCAATTATCACACCTCAACGTCCCATTTGGTCTATGGGTGGGGTGAGTAGGTAGGATCATAGGTATGCACCACCACAACCAAATAACAAAGACTGTTTGTCAAAAAATCTTTTGTAATAGTTGCATACAGCTGCATACACAGTCACCTGAAGGCCTTTGGAGCCCTGAGGTATGTCTGTATGAACAGTTGGCCCTCAGCTATCAGCTTAAAGTAGAAACTCATCTGGAACCCTTCATCCACTCTTCCTTTTCTCTCTGTCTCTGTCTCTCTGTCTCTGTCTCTGTCTCTCTCTCTCTCTCTCTCTCTCTGTCTCTCTGTCTCTGTCTCTCTCTCTCTCTCTCTCTCTCTCTCTCTCTCTCTCGCTCTCATTTTGTTTTGTTTCTTTTTGGTACTGGAGATTGGACTCAAGGTCTTTGCACTGAGCTATATCTGTAGCACCCATTTTTATTTTTGAGATAGGGTCTGTTCTTGCTTAATCACTGAAGCTGTACCCCCTGGGCTTTGCCATCCCCTAGGAATTACAGGCATGCCCCCACCATTCTTGGATTTTTTTTTTAAAAGTGGGAACCAGCAGGGTGGCTCCAGATGGACAGCCATCTGCGCCAGAACTCCATGGCCCCCGCTACTCTGGGAGCAGCAACACCTGGCCTGATTTAAGGCCGACTTTCTAATTTTTGAACCATTTTGCCACAGCCCTGCTGGCACTGAAGCTGCCAGTGACAGAAGAAAGAAAGAAAGGAGCCAAAGAGTGTCTCCAGAAGCAGCAAGCAGGATAAACACTGCTCAGGACCAGAGCAGCTTTGCCAGCAACAGAAAATCCCTTTTGAGATGCAGTGAGGCATGGAGGGATAAAGAGCCTGCAGAATGGCAAATTAAAAAGCTTGGCAGAGGCAAAAGCATAAATTACAGCTGCATATGCCATCACCTGAAGGCCTTTGGAGCCCTGAGGTGTGGCTGTATGAGCAGTTGGACCTCAACCATCAGCTTAAAGTAGAGACTTCATCAGCAGCTCTAGGAGTTACTGGACCAGTTCAGTTGTCCTTATAAATCAACTGGAATATACCCAAAACAAAGACCTAGCCAGTCAAATGTCTGCGTGCCTAGAGGGGTTGAGCAGTTTGACCTGTAAGTCTAAAGATTCAACTCTCCTGCTATTTGAAGTCCACACAACTGCTCTGCCCCAGACCATCAAGACCTCCCTCAGACTGTTCAAATTCCTGAGCCCTGGATGGCTCATGCTAGTTCAGCAAACATTGGATCCT